CACACACACACACACACACACACACACACTCACACACACACCTGCCCACACACACACTCTTTTTGTCTCATACATGCTCTCTCTCTCTCTTTCTCTCTCTCCATCTATCTGTCTCTCTCGTTCTCTCTCTATGTCTGTCTATATATCTGTCTATCTTTCTGCCTATCTGCCCCCCTCCCAACTCTCCTCTCCGCCCCTCTAAACATTTAGCTAATTTAAAGTCTCGTTGCGCTCAGGGACCTTCAAAGAATGTAACGGTCATTTGTTTCCCTTACATTACGGGTGTGATCATACATAACTGTGGCTAATTACAACGTTTTTCGTTCATAAGCGCCGTAATCGTTTTCCCGAAGTCTTTATTTACAAATCGTATTCAACATGGAAACTGCCTCCATCGCCGCCTCTCTAAAGTATTTTTAAAAAAAATATTGATCTGATCCAAGGCCAACGAACATCGTTTTAGGCGGTCTAACAAATAAAAATTATGGTTCTTTTGTTTCAGTCACATGCAATAGAATTAAGATGCCGCATGGGAAGAAAACCCTAAACAATAAAAATAAAAAAAATGGGTTAAAACATTTATTCTTCTTCCCCTTTTCTTTAAATGCATTTTTCTTTGCTGTATTAAGAACTATGTTTCTTTCCGGTTCGTGAATAAACAGTATCCGAGACGAGTGATTGAGCAAAAATATTGGCGAACAAACACTCCATTTTTTTTTCAAATGCAAAGCGATCCATGTGGCGCAATAATCAGTGCAAATCAATTTTACAACTCTGGCGTTTGTTTTGAAATATCCACACCTTGTTCAAAGGACAAAGCTATAATATAGAATCAAGATCTATGGATTTTTCATGACTTTTGTTGGTGACATTGTTTTTAACCGTTCAGGATTTATACAACAACAACAACAACAACAAAAAACTAGAATTTTCATGACATGCCAATGATATGTCACAACAATGTGCGATATACAGCTCCAAAGAAAATTCACAGTGCGGAAAACCCCTGTAAAAACGGGACATCATACTTAAGTTGTTATAGCAAAATACATTACTTCGCAAGAAACGTATAGGGTGCCCGTGGAAAATCCATGGTAAAAGGGGTAATAACGATTACATATAGAGGGGAGGGTTTCGGAGTCATCATCATCATCATCATCATCATCATCATTATCATCAGCATCATCATCATCATCATCATCGTTATTTGGACGAGTGGAGGTGCCTCTGAGTATATAGACAATGGAGCTGAAAAAGAGCCTCGCTCTCGCTCAAAGATTTCTTCGTGGAGTCCGCCAGGCCCATTAAGGAAACAAACTAAAAAATCATCATCAGTACAGTATCATCATCATCATCATCATCATCATCATCATCATCATCATCATCATCATCATCATCATCATCATCATCATCATCATCATCACCATCGTTGACAGCTCGAAGATAAAAAAAAGACAATCAAAATTTGTCATGCTGAAAAAAGTTGAATATTTCGCCCTGAGGTCTTTGCCAGGAACATGAAAGAATAATAGTGACTGCACTATGGAAACAAAAGCATGTGTACACTTACATCATGATGCGCAATGGTGTGTGCGAGAAAAATAGATTATCAGAAAGGCCAAAGGAAGGGAAAAGGGGAACATCATTATCATCCCAATCGTCATCGTGGTCGTCGTCGTCGTCGTTGTCATTGTCGTCATCAGCAACAACTACAAAAGCGACATTTTTATGGTTTTGTCTCCCAAACCGATATCTCTAGCTTCAGTCGTTGTAGAAATCTTCTCCCGACGTTAACAGACAGTTATCAAGATAAAATATCAAATCTGATTGTTTTGACATTGCCGAGGCTGATAGCCTCAATTTCTGTTGGCAAATGGCAGAATAACTGGCACCTGTGATTACGATGATGAGGGTGGATTGAAACGCACACGGCTTGGGTAGAATGGCACGTTGCGGTCACTGCCTTTGTAGGCAAATGGCAGATAATTTGATTGTTGTTCACTTGCTATCAAGTAAGTTGTGGCGCCTTTATAGTCTACGATCTAAATGCATGTCATGTACACGTATGTATAATTTATATTTGCTCCGTTTGTTTGGGTTTTCCACGGAATGGATGTCGACAGAAGAACTGACGACAAAGTCAGTTTTGAAATTTTTCCCGTTGGTCAAGATATATGTATGTGTAGTACCTCTATTTTTACATATTGAATCTTTATGTAAAGTGTTAGTGTAGTTCACAAGTCGTATCACCCAGTATCTCTACCCTTTGGGAGCAATGTGTATTATAATGCAAGGCATTCGTTAATTTTTAGTTTTTAACCATTAAAGGCACCAGTCAATATTAGTGACATTATAGAAGTATGCATTACTTCTGACCGATACTTTTCATTTTTAAGTTTGAGGCTGATCTTTGTGGTAACTGCATACAACACACGACACTAAGTTTTGTTTCCCAAATATCACTGTGTCTGTGACACTGTCACGTTGCTGTGTATTGCGTTACTGGCGTATGAGGTGCAGAGGTTAGGCTTTTTTGTTGCAGCCAGAATATGCGAGTGGCATATGTGTGTGTGTGTGTGTGTGTGTCTGTGTGTGTGTGTGTGTGTGTGTGTTTGTGTGTGTGTGTGTATGTGTGTGTGTGTGTTTCTATCGATTAGCCCCTTCTGTCTGCTTGGATGCTTCATTTATCCTTCTCAGCCTGGGTTGTCCTTCATTGGCAGGGTCGAAGCAGCCAGCCCCCTAAACGTTTTTAGAATCAGATTGATGTTTTGAGAAGGGGTGCGTGGGGTTAGCCTTTTGTTACAATTCATATCACATTGTCATCTCATACAATTGTTTGTTTTTTTCTGCCACAGGCTTGTGCTCCCCGGTACGTGTATTTCTCACAGTCCTTGGATAAGAGAGAGCCTGTGGGCATATGCTATGTGGCCAAAACCTCCACCACAAAGTATGAAAAGTATGCACCGTGCATGACAGGTAAGACGAATCTTGTCCACTGTCGTCTGTGAAACTTTTAAAGTTTCTTAATTAAGTTTTGTTTCACTTTAAAGATGAGCTTTATGAGCTTACGCCCTGGACTTAAAGGGCTCTTTTTTGTTGTTACTAGTGTTATTTCTCCAATCACAGCGGTAAGATGGGTCTATGGTGTTCATGTATTAACAGCACCGTTTATTAGCGGTACAGTTGATGGGATTTGGCTTATTATTAAAATAGTTTTTAAGGTATGGAGTTCAGCTACAGTAAGAAACGATGAAGAAGGCGTTCTTTCAGAACTAAATTGATTTGATTAGTAGATCAAAACGTACAAAAAGAAGGTGGAAATAATAAAGGGGGGGGGGGGGGTAAACGTGCCGTTTTATTTGTTTATTTTCTTGAAAATCTGTTGCTTCTGCTTAGCAGACAGACATAATATAGATAGATTGACAGTCAGACAGATAGATATACATGTATAGATAAATCAAAGTAGACACAATATGAGAAAAAGTTAAAGACTGAAATGAAGATTTTTTTTCCACCTTTCTCAAATAGGTCTCATACTTTTTTTTATTCATGGTTTTATATCACCTGAACTAAAATCTTTTGCTATATGTATGCTATACATCCAGCATACATCCAGCTTTCAGTCGTATAGAGGGTGTAATTATTTTGGCTGCTCGGTTAAAGTTATTTAGCTAACTTGACGAAGGAGCAAAGGCCGAGGGTTCAAGTTCGAGCTGGGTCCAGAATTTTGTCTCATCTTGGAGCGTTTTTTTTTCTAAGCTCGATAGCTGGGAACAGGAGTGGGGATGCTGTGCTTTTGAAATTGCGCTTACTTTTTAAAGTAAGGAGATGCGCTTCCTTTTTTTTTGTTCCACTTGAAAGATGATAATGATGATGATGGTGATGATGATGATGATGATGATGATGATGATGATGATGATGATGGTGGTGATGGTGGTGGTGGTGGTGGTGGTGGTGGTGGGGATTATGATGATGATGATGATGATGATGATGATGATGATGATGATGATGATGATGATGATGATGATGATTGACTTTCTTCATGCCTTGAGCTCCCCAGCATAAAGCTGTTGTTTTCACCATCTTCTTCTAAATAGGTTGTTTTTTTAGCATGTTTTAATTATAAAATATATCACGTTACCTATTTCTGTTTTCATTGTTTTATATTCTCTTTGAACCAACCCTTTTTATGAATTATTTATCTTTTTTATTTGTTCAGTGTCGTGCAATATTGTCTTTATACTTGTCTTTGTAGAATACTTTGCCTTGTTGTATTATTGCACCTCTGTCTTTTATCGACTTTCGCACATATTAATCGTTGGCTGGGGGGATTTTGCAACCTGAACTTTCTCTCTTAAGCATACTATTATATCTACGGGTGCGCCTAGCCCACTTTCCCTTTTTAAAAGGTTTAGTCTGAAGCATAACTCTCTGAGTCTTCGGGATTTTGTGGTGGTTTTTCTTTTTCTTTTTTTTTTCTTTTTGATAAGCAGGTTTAGACTTAGATAGATGTAACAATTAATTGTAACACGGAAAGGACAAATATCAATATTCGGATAGGTGACATTAAATAAGACAAGATATTCAACCTGTTAGTGTAGTAATATTTTTCATTCTGCAAGAAGTCTGAGAATAAAAACTGATATCCACAAACAAAATTAAAAAATTAAAATCTTCGCCTTTGCCTTGGCATTTTCAATTTTCCACCTTTTCTGTGGCAATACTGACTTTAATAGGTGTGTAATGGCGACGTGCATGCCTGTATGAGTAGAGTGCGTTTGCTGTTAGCTGGACAATTGCCAGTCTAGCCCACAGCTGATGTAGTTTTCTGTCTGGATCTGTTTTTGCATGCCTCACTGGAGTTTCAGCAGCGTCACTTCCGGCAGCCTGGCTTTACGCACTGGCTTAGCTTTGCCACTTTTTGCCACAGAGATCCAAGAAATAATGTCTAAGCAGGATTTTTTTTTGGCTAGTGGGTACTATTGTTATATATTGGCTACTTTATGGGTCCTAGCTAGGTACATGTATTATTTGTGTTTCTTTATTGTTTTGTGTCAATATTTCGTGGTGTTGTTTATTGTTTGTTTGTTTAGTTGGTCTCAGGCAGGAGATATAATTTGATTGATTGGTTTCGTTGTTACTGTCTTTCGTCACCATTAATGTACGTGTTGCTTTTTTATCACTTGTGTTTATGATAATAACTGTGTTATACAGTTTAATCAACCCTAACTGTCTGTGATGTCATAACCGATATTTGTTTCTGTCTCGTTGATGATATGCTTCCAAAACATAAAAAAGGTTAGAGGTTTAATTATATTGCCTTTTGACGAAGACGTGATATGATTGTAAGTTTAATATTGGTGGGGTCCTTTTTTTCAAAACTGTTAAGGTGGATACTAGAGATCAAGGCTTCTTTTGTTGCTTGGCTGGACATCTGGCGGGTTTTTCCTCTCATGAAAAAGCACTCCACATCAAACTATAACAGCATAATGGTGTTTTCCATTCATTTTGCAGCTAAATTTTCACAGCCTTCAAACTGAACAAAAACGTATGCCAGAGGATATGAAACTTATCCGTTTAGTTTGATTTACAGATGTTCTGAAATCTGATTTGAAAAGAATAACGTTGAGTTCTATGATTGTCTACGCCAGCAACTGAAGCTCCAAACTTGATATGTCATTCATGAACCAGGGAACTGATTAAACCTTCTTTAACTAGTAACTGCTCAAATGTAGATATCTTGATGACATGAATTTTATAATAGTATCCTAACTTAACGTTCCTTCATAAAGAAAGTGCTCAAAAGTAGCGTCTTCTTCAAAAACGCCATATTGACACCTCAGTCCATTATTTCTTTGTTTTCTGTGCCTAATCCGAATGGCCTTTTACTGGTCCTGGCATTCAGGGTCCGGTAATGCTACCGTGATAATGCGATCATAACCATGACCACAATAATAACAACAAACTAACATGTCACTCGTTTTTGCATGGGGTGCCTCTTCCCTCTAGCTGTCGACCGCGTCAGCCATAGCGACCAATACCATCGACAAGGTTACTGCCAGGCTGGCTTTTCTGCTGTGTTTTCCAGTGTAAGTTTTTTCCCCTTCCACCACAAATGTAGCACCGACATTTTGTTGTTTTCATTTCATTTCTTTATTTTATTTTTGGTTTCCTTTTTGAAAATTGACCAGCAACCACGTTTCTTTGGATGGGAACGATTGGGCTTCGTGGCGCACACTTTGCACACAGATATTACTCATAGTGGTCGCATTTCTCGCTGTTGACTGGCATGTCCTCATCGTCCCCACCCCCTTTGTCCTGCACATTTTGCTTACTTATCACTGACCCTAAGCTCGCGAATTTGAAAACATTGCAGTTGTATTGATCCTAGATGAGCACAATACAGTTCTGAAAATCAAATTATACATAGACAAAATGATTGTACGTGTACAATATTTTTGATGTTGCGAGGTTGGGGGGGGGGGGGGGGGGATGGGGATGTACAGGGGAGCCGCCGATGAAGCAATACTTAACAACGTTTGTTGAAGGGTAATGGGCTCATTTTGATACACACAGGTGTATACTTAAACTGTTTTGTATAGGGGAGTAATTACTTTTTGACTTTTCTCAGCGCCTTCAAAGTTATCTGAAAGAATCCGCCGGTGGAATTGTTTATCTTTTCGTCGCTTTTCAGCGATTGCTGCGAGTATATATTACAGCAATGATGCCGATTGATTATGCAGTAAGTGCGATTATAGTCATACACCGCAAAAAAATAATGATAACATCACGACGAGAGCTTTTCGTGACGCAGAGAGGCCACCGTGCGAGAAAGTATGAGTAGGTCTTGGGGGAAGCGTTAGTATGCTCTATCTCTGATGACCTTGCCATTCCTAACACCATTGGTACCTCCGAATGGTTCCTCGCCTCTTCGCAGTAGGTTAAATGAGCTTTTTTTAAAAAAACGTAGTGATCATGAAACCCACCACTGCAGGAGGTTTCTTCTTAAGTTGTCTAAAAGCTTAGTATTCTTGGTTATTGGTGAGCAAGTAACATGTTCTGGTGTTGTAATTGTCCACTGTTCAATTTGTAATCGAAATGTTTATGTAATAGATCTAAGTCTTCTCCAGTTATGGGCATATATCTCCGTAATCACTTGCTACAGTCATGAGCCATCGAACTTGTGCTTGTACGGAGCACAAACCTTACAAAGCAATGAAGACTCATTGTTGCGTGCACCATTTGTTTCACATAAAAACGTTATTGAAATCAATCAAAACTGCTGACCTAGCAGATGAAAGATTTGCTTATGATCACACTCTGATATAGGCCTTGTTATGGCGTGAAGACGTTGGTTAATCCCTTCATCGTTTTTGATTTTACAAAGATGAATTATGAAAATCGTAGTGATTTTCTTACCATAGTTGGTAATTTACACCTTTTCAGATGACTAAAATCTCTTAATGTCCTTGGAAATGACCCACTGAAATTTCCCCAGTTTTCATGTCTCTGACATTCTAAAAGCAGAAACTTTTTATGGCAGCATTCTGGGTAATAAATGTTTTGGCGTACGATACATACTCACACGTTAATGAATCAGTAGGCATGGCGAGGTAACAACATATGGAAGCAGCAGGCACCGCCCATGTTGTACAGACGCCAGAGATTTGCTGTAACTGTAATAATATTGGTCTACTTCACAGACAGTTGCGACGAGAATGTTCTGTTTTCCAATTTTGAAATAATACTCTTGTGTTCCCAGTTTAGTGTCTAAGACGTGAGTTTCCGTGTTCCTGTAATGATATCGTGAACTCTTGCAACTTGATCTTTAATTTATTTCTTTAATGGACCGCCGTATTTACGGAGGCAAATAGTGAGATGCCTTTGATTAGAGAGACAGTTTCCTTTTTGTGTATTCTCTTTTTATTATTGTTTGTCTGTGTAGATGCGAGGACTTGATCTGTTCACTTTTTTGAATGGTCGTGTTTCATATAATGTTAGAGTAGTTTTTTTTCCTTGTTGGTGAAAAGTTGTCTCTCTCGTTCTCTGCAACTGCAAATTGAAATCTTTTCTTCGTCGTATCGAGCGTAGTCGTGATCTGTATCTGTTTTCTTGCACAAGCGCACTCTACACTCTCTTGTATGTGTATGTATACAGGTATGGTGTGGAAAAGAATACCTCTTAGTTTCACTGGAGCCCATCAAAACTTGGGCTAAAATAATTGGTTTCGAGGTTATGCTAACTCTCTCACGTTTCACGGCTTCTTGTTCCATAAACATAATATTCATCTTTCTGCTCTTAGTGGTGGTCAACTTCCTTTATCTGCATGCCCTTTCTCTCGTTTGTTTGGTTACAGTGCCAAAAAGCTGTCTGTCCTGTGAGTGGTCTTTCTATCGTTTTGCTGTTTTTGTGAGAGAATAGATGACCAGGTAATCGGAATCTGATGCTAACCACTATTCCAGCTGGCGAGAAACCGTCTGCCTGCACCACTAGCAGTGTGTGACTCTTTGGCACGAGTGAGCTGTTTCTCTGTTTTCGTTGGCCTTACCCCCCCTCTCTTTCTGCCCCCCCCTCTCTCTCTCTCTCTCTCTCTCTCTCTCTCTCTCTCTCTCTTTCTCTCCGTTCCTCGCTCTTCCACCCCACCTCCTAGCCCCCCTTTCCCCGTCCTTTCAAGCTTTGTCTTAATTTCCGTGTTTGTTTCTGTCCATCCACCTGACTACTTGCCTTCATGCGTATCCCTTAACTACTAAACCATATTTTCTCTTCCTTCCTTTTTGTCTCTATTTTTCTGTTGGTCTTTGTCTTGTTTTTTTTAAATCACTTCTTCTAAAGTAGACATCCACAGGTGATAGATAAATGGACATATTTCTCAGATATGTGTCTGTCTATTGTCTTCTCAACTTTCGAGTAGATTTTGTTTCAGAATACCTTCTAAAATTGGTTTTGGTTGTACTTAATTGTACTTCTTGTACTCTTCTCTGTAATGGATAGTTTCTGTATTTGCACGACTTGAATAGACCACAGGGTTAGTTTCAGTCACATTTGGCATCTAGGCATGATTGCTTTAAGTACATAATATCTCTGAGTATAACTTTCCTCTGAGTTTTCTGTTCATGCAGAGTGTTGTTACGAGCTGTTCCTTGTGAAAAATCTGTCTAGTTTACTTAGCTTTCCATATGCCTTTGAAGGTGAATGAAATTGGCTTCTTTATTATGAATAGTCTTTCTCTTTCCTCTCGTGTGATAGTATAGACTTTTACTTCTGCTGTTCTATCTTGAAAGCAATTTGTTTTGCCTGACTGTCTTTGTCTCAGTTAGAAATACATTAGTCTTTTACTCCTTCACCTACGATTTCCCCTTTCTCTTTCTCTCTCCCCCCCCCCCCCCCCCCCCCCCCCCCCCCCCCCCCCCCCCCTCTCTCTCTCTCTCTCTCTCTCTCTCTCTCTCTCTCTCTCTCTCTCTCCTTGCCTCTTTCTACCCCTCTCTGTGCCTCTCTATGTCTTTCTCATCTCTGTTTCACAATATTTTCTTCTACTCATAGTTAGCACTTCCACACCCTTCAGTTTTCGCCAATCTACCTGCAATATGTTAATAATGGTATAAACTGCTCTATGTATGGCATTATGTACCCAACAACTCCCCTCACTAAATGTTTGCACTGTTGCCACCGGCATAGCTGTGGACAAGAATCCACGAAGTCGGGACCAGTTTACCAGACAAGGGTATTGCCAATTTGGCTTCTCTGCAGCGTTTGACCGAGTGAGTCCATTCTTTAGCCAAAAGTACTCAAGGAGAGGTTTCTTGGACGTTGGTATTTTATTTGCACGCGTAGCAGCCCGGGTTTAACCCCACTCTTAGGTGTCTCATAGCCTTCTTTTGTAGCATTCAATATCTTTTTGGGTGTGCAGTGAGTTTCTGTTTATTAGATTATATACAAAATCATACTTTGGTATTGGATTTTACATTGTATCTTTTCTCTTGAACTGTTGTGCTTTTTTCCAAGAAGTGTCTCTTGATGTCTTTCTTTGGTTTGTTTTTATCTACTCAAGTTATCAGAAATTCGGTCTTGCCTCTGAAACAATCTTGTAATTATATTCGTCT